TAGTCATACTTCCTAAACATGTTTGATTAGGATCAGGGAATTCACAGAATTTAGAAGACATCACACATTAGAAACTCAGTGGCCTCCATATGATATAGACTTTGTTTGCTATTTGTAAAAAAAAAAAAATCCAATGTATTTCTGTTTTAAATTGAAGGTTGGCTCGGTTTGCCCACATACAAAATGAATTACTCTCTCGTACCAGTTTGAACTTCTTGTAGTGGAATGCAACTGCAGTAAGTAAATTTATTCAAGTATTATACGTAAGTACAAATTTGAAGTACTTTTGTTCTACTTTATACTTCTACTGCATACATTTTAAAATGAAATATTCTACTCATTATTTGACAACTGTAGCAATTAGTTACTTTCCAAACTTTTTGACTTGTGACCCCTTACAAAAACCAGTGTGTAATTGGGGTCTCTTGTCACGTTTCACATGTCTATTAGTTGTTTGCAGTCCCTCCAAGAACTTCTCACATGGTTTAATTTAAATATTTAAACAATTTAAATATGTATTTGAAACTCAATTATTATCATTTAAACCCCAATTATAATAATCATTTAACAAAAAGCAATGAGTAGAGAAAAGCCTGAAAAATTAATCTAAATGTATGTATAAGAATTCTCTCTTTCTTTGTCCCATTAATCATCTCACAAGCCCTCAAGATTTATCTTGTGACCCTTTGGAGGGTCCCGACTCCTAGCTTGGGAACCACAAGACTGAACTATCCAACAGTGTATGAAACAGTCCAAGCTAGCTTCACCTCAACCAGCTACAACAGTCAATTATTGCTTACACATCAGCATCAGTATTAACAGTTTAACAGTGTAACTTCTGTATTTTTACTTACTTATTAGTATTTTAAATGCAGAACTTTTACTTGTAATAGAGTATTTTTAAGTATGTAAGCAACGCCACCACTGACTGATCACAATGTCAGGATCTTAAATACTCCTGAAGACCTTTGATTGTCTTACAATAAAGGATGAAGTTATTTTAGGGATCCATGATTATGATATACTGCAGTTATAAATAGAGTAAATATTATTAGTTAGTGTTAAAAAAATGATCTTGTCAGGAAGTTCAAACAATTCAGAAATATTCAATAGTACTGTCAACAATTTGAGAGTTGAATGTGTGTGTGGTTTGTTAAAATCTGGAGGTCATATTTTAGGTTTATATCCACCCCACAACTGCTGTTACTGAGCTGTGTGTTTGGATGCACTCATTCACCCACACTATTCATTATGCTCAGGGCCAACCCTGCTTTTACGTGCGCGCCCTGTTTGTTTATGGAGCACTGTGGTTTCACGACAGCATAACCGTAATAGACAGACGTTGATTTACTGATAATCCTTGGCTTTGCCCTCACATTGGACCTCATAAGGAGTGGCATTGGCTGTCAGCCTCACACGTCCTTGAGTCAAAGCTGCATGTTGCCCTTGACACATCTCTCTCTCTCTCTCTCTCTTTCCATCCCTCCTCTCACTCTGTGTTGCTCTCTCTCTCTATTGCCTTTATTTTAAAAAGCTTTATACCCACAGAATGGCTCACTGCAGATGTGATTTTATTTTGCTGACAGAGCACAGATATGATTACATGCGGAGCAAAATGTAATTTTCTCAGGGGAGCTCTGTAATTACATTTTTGATGCCACAAGACACATTTTAGTCACAGCTGGTTAAAACAAGAATTAGTTTAAATTCAATTTTGCATAATTTTATATTATTGCATGTAGAACCTGAATGCAGATCAATTATTACCAATTTGACTGAATAACAATTTGAATGGGAATTTTCCCAGATCTAATTCACAGCTAAAATTAATAGAGACTTTTATTGTTCGGTGTGTAAATTGTGTAAAATGCATAAAAAAGAAATGCAGATCAGGTTTGTTTGACAAACAGTCACTATCATCTAAGGATTAAAATTCTGATGTTGTGAAAATTTGAATTGGTGAGGTCCGAAATAACGACTTCAGAAGCAAATTGTCTTGTCGTTTAGTTTATTCTTTGCAAAGAAGGTCAGGAGTGAGACAAATGACAGGATGGAATAGAGCTTTTTTTTATAAGACTGCATAAACTGCCTGTGGTTAACACTTCCTCTTAAGAAAAAGAACAAGGTTGCGTTGAGCTGGTCAAAACCAGTTCTGAAACTAGACATTTGCAGCACGTGAACACATACAGGCAACTTCGAAAGTGCAAAGGCTGAGAAAACAAGGGTATCATGCAAGGGTCAGACTAACCAATTTTCCATTACACCGATCAATTCTGTTCATATGCAAAACTATATATAAACATGACCTTTTTATTATTGTGTAGCTTAATATTAATCTATAACAACTATGAAATATGTCTAATTTTTAGTTATTATTTTATGTAACATATCCAGTGTTTCTACTGGATTGTCCCAGCATATCCTGTTTAAACCATCTGTATCTGTCTGTATTCACATCTCCATCTCCATCTCCATCCAGTAGTTGAACACAGAGTGTATAATTATGAGCAATCAAAACTGTATACTTGTAGTACTACAAAGTGAAAAATTCCTTCTCGTTAACATCAGTAGAACGATGTAATTATTGCTTCTCTCTTCTAATCCCATTATTTCTTGATTGAGATCTTCATTACAGCAGCACAGACAAAAAAGAGGAACAGGGATTCCTGTAGTGAAGAGAGACCAGCTGTGTAAACCTCTACATCCTCTTTTCAATTTTTTTTATATCCTTTCTGCTTCAATGGCCTTCAGTTTTCCAACACCCTTTGTACCTGTGTCCATTAGCACACTACAAGTATTTCCGCTTGGCTTGTCACATGTGCATGGCGGCATGGGAGGGTTGAGCTTTTATGGGAAAGAAGGACGGGCGGTCAAATGTGGGAAAAGTGAAAAAAAAAAAAGTGAAGTCTGGGTCAGATGAAGGATTGAAGGGAAAAAATAAAAGGTGGTGGACAGGAAAGGTGGAATATGTGGAAACCCGTGGGAGCCGCCTTGCTCTGGCAGGCTAATTGAAGCTCTGTGTGGCAGTGGACTCAGAGCTGTCACTCCAATGAAGAGCCCATTTGCTGCATTTTTCAGGCTGTGTGCTGAATTCTGATGATGTTACAGAAATCCCAGACCACAGAAACCCCCCCACCCTTCTCTCTCCTGCATGGGGACACAGCACACATTCCCCTCCCCGTCTCCATAGATTATATGTAACAGGGTCAAAAGCATTCTGAACATGAGCGGCGACTGCAAAGTACAACATGTGAATATGAATTTGTTTGTTCTGAGAATTTTGTAAATTTGTCGGGCAATCTCATACATGATAATAAAGGTTTTCCCTTAGTGGATTAGAAAAGATTATGTCTTCTAGCAGAGCACATAGCCACAAGCAGCCAGTGAATTATTTATCATGAATTAAAACAGTCTGTTATGAAAATATTTATCTAAAAACTGAGCAGAGTAGGATTTTTATATTCAAAAGCTGTAACTGCGATGCACATTATTGTTAGTATTGAATTTAATTTGAATTGAATTACCTGTAAAATGTGGGTTAGGATACTACACATTGACACTATCCAATTTCTCATATGTCCACATTTCAACATTTCTCAAACAAATTGTTCAGTATATTTTTCTTATTTTTCTTGTGTCCAACACAATTTATTTCCTGTTAAAAACAAATGCAAAAGGGTAGGACAGTTTGTTTAATATTCTGCATTACTGTCAGATTTAATAAGTTCACTGTTTACATCTCATACAGAACATATTTTTACATTGTTTCCACAAAATGCAGGTCAACTACATATGGAGATTGTTAGATCATTGATGACTCTTCCTCCCTGCCCCCTTCTTTTATAATTTAGTCTCAATCAGATTTCAATGATTGTCTATCCCAGCATCCTAATGAGCTGCCCAAGCCTGAGAGTTATTGATCGATGCTATTGAAGGTTACACACACATTTGTATACAAGCATGTGCGCATACACACTTTAGGCAACTTAAACTTGTTTTTTGTTCAGGCTTTCAGCTCATATATGATATTCATAATGGCTAAACTGTGAACTTCATTAGCAAATAAAAACAGCCTTGTTTACATCTTTGTAACAATGTATATTTCAGATAATTCAATAGCTTTTTAAATGATGTATTCTGCTAAAATAGTAATAGAAACTTCTTGACAATGAATTAACACTTTTTCTGAAAGATTCAAATTAAGATTTACAATTTAAATTGAACTCCCCTTGCTGAAATTGAATATTTTTTTTGCGCAGTGTAAGTGATGACAGATCAGACTATCTGAGTGAAGCTGGGAATAAATTCTCAGAGGGAGCCACAGGTGCTGCACAGCGTGTCACTTAGAAATCATTAGTCAGTTGCCATCAATCTGCTTATCCAGGCTACGACAGAATTCATGTGGGGGCTGGTATTTACTGAGCAGGAACTTCCCTTTGATTCCATTGATTGTTACATGCTGCTTCCAGGCAGAAACACAAGGTTTTATTTTGTATTCAGAACGCTACGATACAAAAGCCAAATGGAGGCAGAACTACTCAGATATTTTACTTAAGTACAAGTAACAATACCACAATGTAGTAGTGTTGTATAACTGATAAAGCAGTTTCTCTTCAAACTTTGTCTATTTGGATCTAACCTGGAAGACTGTTACTTTATGACTTTACCAATCATTGCTTTCGAGTTTTGTGCAATAAATATTTACATGCTTTCCATAAAAATGAGGACAAAGGAACTCCTACTTTGGAGACTTTTATTGTTAAAATGAAAGACAAGAATTGTAAATTAATACATTACATTTAGAGTATGCAAAGTACTAAGTGACTTAAGCTTTCAAGTAAATATAGTGAAGCAAAATGTAAAAGTACTAGTACTTCAAAATTATACTGAAGTACAGTAATTGAGAAAATGTTGTGAGTTACTTCCACTGCAAAAGAGGGATTTAGATGAAAAAAGGTTGTGTGCCACTGTTTTGCTTTGAGCCCTGCTGAATATGAAACATGATTCTACAGCAGTTTAACAGGAATCCCTCATTGGCCCTGAACGTTGCTAAGGTTTGTGTTGTGGTTACAGGTTGATTGTTCTGACTTAATGACAGAGCTCCAACTTTCACATCAACCATCATTTACGTGATCATTCTTCTGATAAGGACTCTGACATTTTTTGTTGGATGAAGGCTTCGAAAAAGACAAAATCATTTAGCAACCCTGCAGCTATAAAGGTAGGCTCTGTCAGTGTGGAGGTATTTTGTGTCAGAGGGAGATCTCACACTGTAGGAAGATAATAGATAATGACTCTATTTCATGTAATTTCTTTGAATTTGTGCTACCTGGCAACCAGAATCAATGACAGTGTACATTGTATATGCAGTGCTCATACCTGAAGGACTATTGACTGAGAGCTCTCTTGTTAAAGAGTGGGTACGGTATGCATTGTGATGTAACAGTCTTTATATTCAAGAGATGAAGAGGTAGAACAGGCCACACACAAGGACGGTAAGTACTGAGAGGTCATAGCTACAGTGTTTTGGATGAAAGCTTTTATTTTCTGTAAAAAATACAGTAGATTTAAGGTTCCCATTGCAGATGTCATTGACCGTAGACCTCCCACATTCTTGTGTAGGACCATTTTGCTTGTACTAATAAAAGCCAAAGTGAGCTCAAAGCTTAAAGAGCTGTGTAAAAAGTGCTGTCAACACCAATAACAGCTATAGAGCATATTCAAATCATTGTTATTAACCATGTTTTACAGCTGTGGTGAGGACCCCAAGCAGAAGTAATGCATCATTTTCTGTAGCAGACTTCTGAAGCATGTCAGTTGTTCAAAATAATGTTTATAAGCAGTTCTCATGGAATTTATGTCAAGTATCAATTTGATAAAACAATAGTGAGTATGGAGATAGACTTTTTCAATGACAACAATATCTTTTCAATTTCCTATAAAGCTTCAGAAGGATGGAAACAATCTCCCATCCCATGATGCCCTGTCACAGATCCTACCAAAGTACCGCTACCTTTCCAAGGGAGCGGACGCTGAGCTCCACGGAGCAGCCCAACAAGAACAGGAGAGACCAGCTGAGAGGCCAGAGACTACAAAGGCCAACAAACCCAACATAAACCACACCTATCAAGTACATCATCCACATAAGCGGTCAGACAGACAACTATATTATATTATAGTGAGACTAAAACAAAGGTTTATATGGTTTCATTTCACTAATAACTTTATTTTTATTAATTGTGTTCATGTCTCAGACCCCCTCTGCATGACTTTGAGGATGATCCCCACATGGCAGAGATCACTGTCCTCCAAACTAAGGTGAATAGATTGAATCAATACCTAAACTCTTGAATCAATCAATCAGTGAAGCGATCCCCACTGTCACATCTAGTTAGTGAACAGTGACACAGTGAGTTAATGAGGTTGAAACTTGTGCCAGGGTCCCAGGGTGTTATTTATGCAAAACATTTTTCTCCTAGATGTGAGGTGTTTTTCATAATGTCATTTACTTATTTAAATTCACTGCTTAGATCTGTGGATTGGCTAAACTTGTATCAATATAGATTTTATGTTAAATCATGAAGATTTTGATAAATTGTATGATAGAAAGGCAGAGATCTGATTTTTGATTGGATGATTTCATAGTGACAATGCATACATTTACAGTATAATACTATTTGGAAAAGCCTAATTAAATATTGAATCCTCATAATCCAGTCCAGCTGTCTTTTGTCCTGAGGGGACAATATGTATAACAGCAAGGCAACTTTAATGTCTTCAAATCACAGAAAGGGGAGAGAACCTCCAGTATTCACAGGCAGAGACAGGCTCCCCTTTTATTTTTGACACATGATGGGACTTTCCAGACTCATCATGAAGAGCCCTCCTTCCCATCATGCCTGTGGGCCCCCCAGCAGAGACACCATCTCATCTACAGTCATGATTGTCACCTCATCCCTGCCCTTTCAATTAGATGCTCAATTTCACCCTTGTGTCCCACGGGAGTCACAACCACACCATCCGAGATTGGAATCCCGTAATCGTCGCCCCCTCTCATACATGCAGCTGGACCCGGCTCTTAGTCTCCATTCAATTCTGTCTACTCAATGTGACAGAGAAGAGAACAATGAGTGCATACAAGCTGCTAGACAACATGCTCATGCCCTACACAGAGAAATGTCTTGATAACAGTATGATTTCTGGACAGCAGCTCTGATGGAAGTCAGTGAGGAAATGTGTATCTTTTCAAGCTAAAAGAAGGGCAACAACAATTTGAAAAGAAAGGAGAAAATGTAAGATTTTGGAAGGAAGATTTGTATAAAATTCAATGTTGTTTTTTTACTCCGTCTTGCTGAAATACTCTCATGAATTTGGCATGAGTTTTGCTTCAACATTTCAGCAAACAGGCTTTCACAGGAAGGCATTGCTGTGAATGCATGACTAGGACTTATCCCAAATCCCTTGTTAAAGCTCCCATGACAAAGGACTTTAACAGGACAGGGTGTTATTGTCTCTTTGGATTTGAAGAGCCGGAGTCATGAATTCATTGTACCCAAACCTTAGGAAAATCACACCTTACGGCGTAATATCTTTCGCCTTCCAGTTATGTCCCATTTCTCATGTTATGTTCTTATCCAAAACCAAGCAAAATCAATTATTCATTGAGACACTGAGCCTCATGACAAACTCTACATGCAATATGTGTTTACTGCTGGGATGTTTTTTTGTTTTTGATTCTCCTAGTATACAGACATGTCTCGCTGACTACATCCTGGGGTCAAGAACTCTCTAAGATGGGGCTGAAGAGACATCTAGTGGTGGTGATCATATAGAACCACTTGGCATCAAATTTGTCCCTGCAGATTTATGGGAATATTTTCATCCTTTCGGTTCTTAAAAAAACAAAAAACAAAAAAAACATTAACTTTTGATCATTGGCAATTTGTCTGACTCCTGGCTATTTGATTATAAATTACCCTGATGTGTTCAGTTGGGGGGATAGTTTTTAGTCATCTTTGGACTTACATTGACCTAGGTGGAACTCACTTCACTATGAGCTCTAGATTAGCATTAAAAGGGTATACAAAGTTTTGAAATACTCTTTTTTTTTAAAAGAACTATAACAAATATCCCACTTCAAGCCACTGGTCTCAGACTGACAGTCCATATCTCTCCATCAGGAGGTAGAAAACTACCGTTCGGCCATGAGCAGGATGGCAGAAGACATCATAGCGCTGAGGACACAGGTAGTGACGTTGGAGACAGAAAACAGCCAGCTCCGCATTGATCTGTCTCTGCATCAGGACCTTGGCCGAGATCTGCTGGATGACACAGACATTGATGTCATGACCAAGGCTGAGATTGCTGATCGTATAGGTAAGCCACAGCAGAGAACTATGTATGTGTAACTATATATATACATTCATTACTATCCTGTCTTAAAATGAGTCCAAACCAGCTCCACGCAAAAGCAATAAATGACATTCTGTCTGAAAAATGTCAGAAAGTTTACTATCCAGCTAGCAGTTGTTGAGTTCATGTTGTTTTGCATTTAAGGGCATTTCATTGGCAGATGAAGCCGTGATGTGTGTTTGCTAATCCTTGCGAGTGTCTATTCCCAAGCAGACTGTGCTGTTTTGTGATAAGGCAGCTCATTTAGGCCATGGACCCTGATAAGCTCTGTGGGTAGTGCATCTCTTATCTCCTGAAGGACAGTTTGTGACCCACAGTAAAAAGGATGTTCCTGAAGGTCTCTCTGCTAACATAAAAGCAAATTGACTGGGTCCCATCCAACAGAAAATCCATTCGATTTCAAAAAGCTTCATTGATAGGAGTTATGATCATTATTGTTCAAAAGTCCAAGCTTAAGAACTGACATGTCGATGATTCTAAATTTGAAAATGTATTGACATTTAAGTCCCACACTTTACAAATGCTAACAGCACGTTCCTATGCCTAAAAAAATCTACAAATGCACCAACATTACCCAGATTTATGCGGCTGTGTACGATGTGTCCTCCTGTTTCTGTGAAGCCTCTCTGAAATTCAAGCTGGCCAGTGAAACCAGTAAGGCTGCCTCGCAAAGGGACAGGATCCAACAGCTGCAGAATGATCTGATTAAGGTTAGAATATACATGTACATGTTACACAAATGAAACTTCTACATAATAATAAATTCATGTTGGTGTGTAACTTACTATTCTGGCTTCCCTTCGTGTGTGTTGTGAAGAAGTATGACAGTGAGAAGGAGCTACTAAAACTTCAGAGGGTTCACAAACAGCAGCAGGAGGATCAGAAGTACCAGCAGAGTCGATTTGCAAAAATGGCAACTTTGGAGGCCACAGTGAAACAGCAGGAAAAGGTGAAGAGTCAGATACAAAGTCTGCCCTGCACTTACTGGTATAACTATCTGATTCCACAGCAGGGAATGCTTCTTTCTATGAGTAACACAAAATGTATAATAGGATAATATCCTGTATACTTGTGCAATCTCAATTTTTCAGACCATTGAGAAGATGGAGAAAGCATTAGATACCAAACTCAGAGAAAAGAATAAACAGAGTGGTGATAAAAAGCTGGTGGTGAAAAAACAAAGAGGTAAGTGGAATCAGTGAGGTGGGGAACGATATGGGTTCACGAAAACACTTGCAGTCACCAGAACATCTCTTCATTCTGTGCAGATGAGACTGACCACAGTAAGGAAGAGATAGTCTCGGCCCTGGCAGCAGAAAACACTCGTCTCAGAGAAGAGCTGGACAGAATTCGCCAGCAGCCGGCCCCAGTCATTATACACCAGTCAGCACAGGCACTCAAGGTAATCAAGCCAGTATTCAAACAGTGTGAAATGGTTTACAACTCTTATCAGATTGAATGTCTGAGGGTTGACTACAGCTCAGAGTCAAGTTTCCATGTCTTGAGGAATATATTGTAAAATATATACATTTTATATATATCGTACCACACAGATTTTGTCTTCCAGTTACTAAAATCTCAGTTTTTCATGTGCCATGTCCCCCCCAGACAAAAGATGCACTGCCACTCAAGGAGAGATTGAGTTTACTGAACAAACTGGAGAAGGCTGAGGCAAGAGTCCAGACTCTGGAGACTCAGGTAAAAATAAAACATTTGAGATAATACTCTTGAACTGTATGTTTCATGGACTTATTGAGTCAATGATCCGTGTTTCATTCATGGTTGAATAAATGCTTTTTCTTCATTTGCATGTATTTCAGCTGCAGGACAACTCTAAATTATGGGGGAGACAGAAACAAGAAATGTTGACCAAACTGATGGAGCACAGGCATGGTTTTGTCCGGACATCCACCACAATCCTTCATAATGTTCCTTCGGTCAGTTGAGAGCAGCTATCCTTCGCTTTATAAGATGTGCTATGTGCAATTATTGTATAATGTATGTAACATGGAAGGATTTCTGCTTCTTACAGAGATCTGTATCAGAATCACTGTATCAACAAAACAGAAGGAAGAAGCAGAAGCCCATAAAATGATCTACACACACCTACACCTACACACACACACACACTTAATGTTCCCATTTTTTTAATCTTTCATAAATATATTTATATGTTGAAATAAATAATAAAATTACATATAACAAGACATATTTTGAATCAGTTTATTTTTTTTATTCATCACTGGTTTATAGATAGTATTTTAATATACTTTTGGAATAAAGGTTCTGTACATTCTAGGTTTTTCAGTATATTGTACACACACACAGCCTACACATTTCCATCATGACTAAGTAAGTAATATACAGTACATATAATTACTGAGGTAATTTGTTCATGCACATTTTTAGGTTTTTCTTTCCTAATGTTTTTTTCTTGCTCTCTGGCTATGGTTGGAAGAGTTCATTTTGGGTTTATGTTTCGGTGCTTTGTGAAGCTCTTTACAAGAACTGTGATAAACGGCTATAGAAACCAGCCTTCGACTTACAATGCACCACAGTTTTCTCTCGAAGTTGGTGTTACCGACTAGTATGTAGAGGCTTCAAAGTCAATATTATAGGCTTTTCTGGTAAGAGAATGAGCTCAAAGGTACTCTGCACTTCTACATTGCGCTGTTTCTCCACTCTGAAGTTCTCAAGCATCTGGAAAGACAGAAGATAACACACACCGTTAATACGCTGCGTAAATGAGCCACAGCATATGGTGAAACTCTTTATTCTCTGTATTTCTCACATGGATAAGGAAGATTTGCATCTCAGCCTCAGCTATTCTGCGTCCTAAACACTGACGGGGGCCGAATCCAAAGCCCAGGCTCCTGAAGTAGTGCGTCTCTGTCCTCAGCCAGCGGGAAGGCTGATAGTGCTCTGGACGAAAAAACACCTGGGGGTCTCTGCCCATTGCATACAGCCCTAACTGGACCAGAGTCTAAAAATAAACACAGAAAAGGTGAACAGTTGGTCAAAACTTTGCTCAACAGACTGCTCATGTTTAGATATGTTTTCATTAAACATCTATATTTGTTTTACTTACCCCAGCTGGGATGTGGTAGTTTTGAATAATTATATCTTCTGCTATGTATCTTTGCAAGCTCACTGCAACCGGGTGTAACCTAAAGCAGAAGAAGACTAACTTAGTGGTAGTAGATGGCAGAACCAAAGGTCATTTTCAGTATCGCTATATATAAGTGGAAAAAGTATTACTATAAATCTAAAAATAAAACTAAGCAAACTATTTCCTAAACAGTTTGCAATTCTGATAAAAACAAATGAGATGCAGCACACAAGGTGCACTTTGTATTGTACAAAGGGTCGAAAGAAAAAGAAAACAATTTAGGAGCTGATGCACTTACAATCAACATACTGGCATCTCTACAGCATCACTAAGAGCATTACTGTTTTTTTTCACCTCAGTGTTTCCTTCAAAGCTCCTTTAACAAGAGGAATCCGCTTCAGCATCTCCAACATGTCACCCTGGCTTTCAGCCCGAGCTGCGGCCACTTCGGCCCTCAGCTCCTCCTGGAGGTTGGGGTGCCTAGCTAGTTCATATAATGTCCACAGCAGCGTTATAGAAGTCTGAAACACACACACAGCATAAACTTTTAGCTTTCTTTCTTAAGAAAAGAAGCCATATTCTGAAAAATATATATTTTTGTAATTGTTTTCCTACTGTATCTACTCCTCCAGCCATTAGCTCAGTGATGCTAGCCTTGATGTCTTCAATGGACAGCTTGTCAAGCATGAGCAGGCTAGCCAGGACTCCTGGGTATTTCTTTGGAGTTCCAGTCTCCTGCCGTAACTGCCTGTAGATGTTATGGATGCAGCGGTCCGCTGATGCACCAAAAGAATACAAATGAAATAGGATACATATGTAGTACAAAGATCAAAATAAAATTTGTGATTTTCAAATACCCTCATGATGCTAATCAAACTAAAAGTGCTCAACCTGGTGTTTCTCTCAACCCTACCTTGGTTAAAGATCCCATCCCAAGCATCCACATGGTCCCGCCACACCTTTGCTCCAATCTGCCTCAACAGCCCAGGAGGTATGTAAAGCATGGGTGAGGTAGTCTTGAACATGACGGTGATGCAGTTAATGAAATGTTGAGCTTCAGGGTCAATGTAGTCCAACATCAAACCCAAGCGTTCCCCATACAGCACTGAGCTCACCGCTGTGTAGGACACAATAAACAAAGACAGAGAAAGCCAAGCACAGTGTGAGAAAGAAAAAGACACTGGTCTACACAGTGCATGAAATTATACTTGAATATCAAGAGAGATAAAAGTCCATCTTACACTCTAATGCATATTTAAAGAGTTCTTGAGAAAGGTCAGTGGTCCATTTGTTCTGGCCACTTCGCGTTATCTTTTTGTGAACTCTGGCCACAAAATCCTCCCCCACTTCATCCAGCAAAGGCACAAAGTTTTCCAGCACCTTTGGGGAAATCACCTCCTTGTTGAGGATCACACGGTTTGATCTCCAGTCTTCTCCATTCCTGTAGAAAGAATGGATATAAGGAAGAATTTTTAGTTCAAGTGTAAAATGGAAGCTCTATTGGCAGAAATTTAACATAATATTCATAGGTACGTTTAATTACTGTATAATCACCTGAAAACAAGACTTTATTACCTTAGTCATTTTTATCTTAAGTCTTTTGTTAATTTTATTCCACTATGTTGAACTGCAATGATTCAACAGTAGTCCAGAATGGACAAACCAAACACTGGTTCAAGATAGGGCCGTTACTGTTTTTCACACGTTTCAGTCACTGTACTTTCTCATATGTGCTCAGAAGGGGAGAATGAAGTGAGGGTGTTGCAATCAGCAACAGAACTGCTCAATGCCACTAAATCCTACACATTGGTCCCTGCTTCATAAAAAAACTGATTATGGTGAACTTATTAATGCAGTATAAAGGGCAGACAGATAATAGTACACAAAGACAATATTCAAAATAAAATAAAACCAAAACTATTAGGTATTACATTTTCTTCTACAGGTGTTAACTTAAACTAGCAAAGCAACTATTGGGCACAGTCTTAATAAAACAAAATACTGGTAAAACAGAATTTATACATGTAAAAAGAGATAATGATACCACATACTTCAGTAAAACTCCATATTTGCGATTCCTGAAGTCTCTGTATGACGTCCAGGCTTCAACTTTCAGCCTTTTAGGATAATGGCCCTCCGCTTTGAACAGGATAGCAGCATCTTCAGGGTTGATGATATTTACACTTTCATAATAACCTATTTTTTCTCTAAGTCAGAGGAAAAGAGGGTTGAAAAAGCCACGTCAGCTACTTGTTTTTAGAAATCATGACCTTGTAGATTGTCAATCAGATATTTTTCATGAATAAAAATGTTTATATTTTGATCAGAAAACAGTTTCAACCTAGTGACGCAATTCAAACTAATTTGTTTTGTCTACTTAAATAACTCTGCAGTGACATGCAGAGTTATTTAATCACTTTAAGATTTACGCAAACTGCCGTACCTGTAAATGGGCCCAAAAGTGTTGAAGTTCTGCAACATGATGCGGTGAAGATTTCTGAAGCCATCCAGTTTCCAAAAATTGTACAAGTTAGCCACCCCGTTCTTCCACAGTCCAGGAATTTCATTGAAAGGCCTGACAATGCTGCTGCTCTCTGAGTACACATGTCTGACCACCGGCATACTGCTGCTGCAGCGCACACCTGTTGTTGTCAGCATCACAGGGCTGCGCCACACACTCCACCTGGCCATCCCGAAAACAAAAAGGCTCACTCTTCTCTACCTTCAGCAGCTACTCTGGCTCTCCCAGGGACATCTGGTGCAAAACAAGGAGGCTGGTCTAAATAGTCAGCCCCCCCTTGCTGCGCTGATCAAGGTTCTCCAGTTTAACTTTACGGACAGAATACACCACAGAACAGTATCTCTATTGTGAGGGAGAGTACGGCCCTCACCTTTTGTTTAGCATGATTGTTTCCTGTAACCCTGTATATAATTCTGGTCACAAACAGCTTTGTTGTGAACTTCTGTCTCAACTGCGCAGTGAATAAAACTCATCTGAATCAGCCACAAAATTGGACCTCAAGGAATGTTTCTTCCACAAAAGACGAAGCCATAACAGAAGTTTAGTTTAAACAAATGTAATCAGTGCATACATAAAAACCTTCAGTCTACAGTTAAAATTTAGGACTTAATATATACCTATACAAATGGTAATATGATTGTTATTTCTTAAGCAGCTTTATGAGTTCTTCCAGCTTCATTGCAGTCTTAATGTCTCCCTGGATTTTAAGTCTGCCACTGGTGTAAGCAGCAAATGGTTGTAGCTCGCCTTGGAACATGGCCAGAAGGTCGTTGTCACTCATACTCAGTGTCACATCTGGCTCTCTTGACAACAACCCTGCTCCAGCTGCACCGCTACCTACAGAACACACAGAGCAATGGAGATATTTCATATATAACTGTACTATTACTACAAACATTTGAGCATCATTAGACACATTTTGTACAACTTGGATTTGTATCAATGTTCTTAAAGCCATATATGAACCATCACCTTGGCTCAAATCCACGTAGTAACTGTGATGCTGTCCATCTTCTGAGCTTATGTCAAACTGAAAGCAGGCCCCAACCTGGTGGACCAAAGTTTCAGAGAGCAGGAGTTTGACCCCACCGAGCAGCTCCTCAACAGTTGTTGTGGCCCCAACTGCCTGAGGGGCAGTGCTGTGCTCATCTGTAAAAGTTATGCTGTCCTCTGAGGAGTAAAAAACACATGTATCACACAACATCATGATAACGGGTACATGTTGCACAAAAACAATTGTGTGTGTGTGTGTGTGTGTGTGTGTGTGGCAGGAGCATACTTTGTTGATACTGTGAACTGTGGCCCAGAAAGTGCATGGCCAACTGCTGAATGGGGCCAGTGAGACCTTCCAGTCCAGGCACAGAGGGAGGCATGATGAGGGGTCCAGAGGGCCCTTCATCTGGTGCTTTTAGTAAAGAGCCCAGGGTCAGTTCTACCCTGTCCACCTCCAGCCCCCAGTGCCGAGTCAGCTCATTTATGTCCATCTGTACAGAGCAAGAAAGCATGTAAGTTTGATGTGATGCAGTGAAAAGCCAGAAAAGCCAGCAGAGAGTAGCTCCGGTGTAGACTCACCCCGAGATATTCTCCCAGTTTAACTCTCTCCGTTTGGATCTCCCTGACAGTCTTTTTGGCCAGGCTGTGGGTCAAAGCATTCTGTGCTGACATCCTGGTTGAGGCGTTCAGGTCCTGGACTGATAGTACTGACATGACGGGGTTCCAGATCCTGAACTGGATGTCTGCTCCTACAGCCAACACACCGTCATCCCGAGTACTCACCTACAGTGGCATCATTTAATTTTCTATGAGTGGTGGGCTTAACACTGGTCATTTAAAATGTGTCACTATTAAAGGAATATAGAGACATGTATAGAAAGACTGAAGGGCTGTGCAATGTAAATATGAGAGGGACGACACAAGACTAAATACATGACATTCAATACACAAAGTTTTCCTGGTATCAGTTTACTTTCTCCAGTTTCACACTGATCAACAGTGCACCAAGAGCGCCACCTGCAGGGCGAAACAAATCACACACACAACAAACAGAGATCTTGCTTGAAGTTGACATGACCGCTAAGCAACTACTCCTCCTTCTACAATCTAGGAAGACCTCCCTAACCCACCATGTTTTCATCACTGTCTTTAAATTTAGTTTCCAAATGCTTGAGTGAAAAACTGCCTTAAACTCACACACTAATATTACACCTAACACTCCATGCTATCTGATCAGAAAATGAGCTACATTGTTCTGTGTGCAGCTTGGC